AACCCAATATCATAAAAAGGATAAAAAAGATTAAAACCGAAACAAAACTGAATACAAAATTTCACATAGTAATATTATGTGAAAAGAGAAAAATAGAAAATAACCTAAAATCAAATGAATTCAAAAAGTATTGCCATAAAAGTAAAAAATAGATGACACAAGACTAATAACAATAAGCAGGTACAATACGAGAACAAAGCCAATGCAGCTCCCTTTCCTCAAAACTAAACGCAATGCCGAAACGGGAAGCAGACACCAATGTGAAGTGGAGCAGACCGCCAGGAAGGATTATACAAACCAAACTTGCAAAAAACATACACTGAACCAACAGAAAGAGAGTAAGCTTTTTATCCTTTTCTGTTAGTTGGCAAGCAATATGTCACAGAAAGAAGGTACATCCGTTGTATCTTCCCGAACAACAAGCAAGCCCACTTAAGCTACGCAGAAAGCATGAAGTACCCTTGCTGATGACGGTTGGTGACAAGTCGGCTGAGGAGATTTGGGTCAACGATATGCGATATATCGCATAATTTCGGAAGTGAGGACATACATTTATGCAGACATGTACATGCATGTTTGTGTGTGTAATACATGAGGAATGGACAGATAGGTACCTGAATATATGAGGGAAACCTACTTGTCGTTAAGAAGAACAATAAGGAGAAGAACATGGCTGATACAAGAGGAATGTAACCCAGCACATATACCGTGTTTGAATGCTATTTTCTCAGCGGTAGTTGATACTGATCGATGAAACCAGTTTCAACGTTTTTTACTGACTTAGTAGTCTTCTGAATTTACACTTTAATTTTAATATTTTGTAAAAGTACGATTTCAAAGAAAGTTGCGAAGGAAAACCTGTTGTACCTGCTTTTGCTTCAGGGAAATTTCAGTTTCATGCTAATTTCATTTAAAAACTTTCAAACTTCCTTTCCTACACTTTATCCTTAGATACAAAAGCAAAAAAAAGACAGCTTATTTTATAATTGCCAGCAGCTATTATATAATATACATTGTATTTTAATTATTTCCTTTTGCGCTAAAGTCCTCATGTACTTTTTCGAATTCATTAGAGCCAAGACTTTCAAAGCTTTGTTAATCTCTCAATTCGTTTATTATTTTAACGCACTTTTCACTTCAGGGCACGGGTGTAATTGATTTCGTGAGCATATCGTGAAATTGTAAGACAAAGAATTCCCCATGAAAGTTCAAAGCGGGAATTTCTTAATTTTAAATGAGCACCCCTCTTGTTCCCACAGAGGCTTACCGATTTTAAATGAAATTGTTAAACGATGGAGATGCCCCATTGCAAGAAACGTGTCTACTATTCAACGGCGTCTTAGATATAAATCTCATGGCAATAGCATTTCAAAATGTAAAAGTTCTATGAACTCTCAATTACGAACATATAAAGTTAAATTTGTTGCACTCCCACAAAAACACACAATATACCAGAGTAGAGTGCTTAAAAACTGATAAAGTGTAGCTACGGAAATTCTTAATTACTTACTACAAAGGATTTTTATATAATTTGCAATTATTCTCAATTTTGTATCTCTTACTTATTACTGAGTGCCGAAGACGCGATATTTCGTTTCTGCAGCTTTTCAGCTTTGATGTCAAGACCTTATTATGCCCAGCCATGAGTTACATAGCAACGTTGAGTTATTGATGGCTTAGCGTAAGTTTCAAATAAATTAAATTCCTTCAAACTTCAAATGCCGGCAGAGCGGAGATGCATGCCATGCCAAGGTGTTGAGTAATTCAAAGTAGCTTAGTTGGCCAACCGATGTCTCTCCTACGCATGCCAGACTTAACTTTCCATCAATACATTGCATTGCCTATTTAATGCTGGTCTCATTAGAACTTATACTTTTTCCTTTCTTCTTTGATAATCCAGATGTGAGGCAATGAATTTGAAGTAAGCCAAGGTTCTTGGTAAAATGCAAAATGTCCCGTTACCATGGACACACTAGTTTTTGTATTTATTAACACTACTGCAACTATTAACAGCCACGCCGGCATCACACGTGCTATTAATCACATCGTCAACGAGAAGTAAACACTCCAACCATCGTGTGCTTCTCCACTAACTCAGCGCTTAGAAAAACGGCGAAACGAATTACCTCAAAACACTTCGGCAACAAACAGCGTGGCATTTAATTTCTCGATTTGTATTCATTAAAAAATACGGCACCAGAAGAGACGAGAAGCACAAAGGCTCGTCTAAGGAGGCACACTTGTTCCTCAAATAACTTACCGCCCTTTCGTGGTTGTAATTGGGCACAATTCGCATTCGAAGCGTCAAGCCATTAAGATGAATATCTAAAATTAAAGTCGCTAAGAGCAAAGCTTCAAAGACTAATGACAGCCACTGAAGACCGCCCAGGACAGAAAAATCAACAAAGTAGCACAAAACTGAGCTGAATGAGTGTGTGCGATTCTCTGAAGCAGAAGTTAAATACATGTATTTGTGTGCGTGGTTTTGTGGGAGAAAATTTATTTCCACTAAAGTAAATGCATCTGTGAACGAATTAGTTGTGTATTGCAACTTTTGCAAAAAGACATACGAACACAGAGAATTTGGTGCATTCGCTTCTCTCCTCTCTTTAAATATGTTCTATATATAATTTGCCGCTTTCTTTTTTAAATTGGCTTCTCCTTTGCATCTCCTATGTGTGCAACTGTGTTCGGGAATGTGTGTGTATTTATGCAATTTATGTGATGCTTAGAATTAATTTGGTTTGGTCTCAAACCCAAAGAGCAGAAGTGTTAAGCGAAGCAATCTCCAACAATGTATGAGACCACTAAATGGCTACTTAGCTTTCATTTCTTTTACTTTTTCGTAAAATAATGGGAGTCAGTTGAATAAATGGGTTTTAATATGGATTGTCGCAGACATATCCCTAATATATTGAACTGAAATGTTTCCCAACTTGTTTAATGAGTAATTTATCTGAATTACTATGTCAGTATATGTCTAACAATGTAATAAATAATACCAATTGTTTCAGAAAAATTTGCACTACTTCACCGTGTGAGACACCTAAACTCTTGTGCTAAACGAGTGTTGTAATATTTCTCACTCGAACATCTCCTGCATAATTCGACGGCACTTTTTCAGTCTGTATTTCAACATCAAAAGCAGTCTGCCTTTATTAAGATAACTCGCAGCATGCTTTATCTCATTAAACTAATTTATTCGGGAAAAATTAACGATGTCAGATGTTTGACCTTAACAACAACAGTGTTGAATTTAATTCGGCGATTAATAGCTGCTCTACCAAATTTATTTAACAGTATCTGCAGCGAGTAAACACCAGCTGCGGTTAAAGTGTTTGTGCTGCAATGAGTTCATCCATCTGCTCCTTTGTTGCTTTACAAATTTGGTACGATTAACAGCTGCTTTGAGCTGATTTGCCACAGTACAAGCTTGGCATTTATTCATCACCGAGCTGGTCGCAAATGCGTCCGTCGATCATTTAACGGCAAACCTCAAACGAGTTTCGCTCTTCCTGTCTGCAAAGTAATTTCGAAGACAGCAGAATGTGCAGACATTTGAGCAGTTTACACCGAATATAAGCTGTCCGATATTTTTCTCGAACTAACCATCCAATGTGTTGTGTTCCTACTCTATTTATTTAATCTTTCCAAAAGCGAATTTTAGGTACTGACACGATTTTTTCATGCATTTTTCGTTTAATAAAATAAATTTTAAGCGAAAACGGAGCAAATATCACTGTCTAGACTAGCCTAATTGTAAAGCCTCTAATTTCCCCACATGCACTGTAAAAAGCAGTAAAGGAAACATTGCCCTAATCGCTAATATCAACTGTTGACATTCTCACACACACACATAATCTTCTGCGACAACTTTTATGAACCAATGAAATTACCAAATCGATATCCTCCTACCCACACACTGGAGTCCCTTGTTGCTCCGTAAAGTAGCGAACAGGTGGGCAAATAGAAATTCTGCTGCAAATAATGTGTTGTTAGTGATTTTCCGTTTCAATAGCACCGTTATCGGGCTAACCTTTTTGCCAAAGTAAATCCAATGACGGTGTATTTGGGGCGGACAAATTCAATTTTGAAACACAATAACAGCGGGCAACGATGCATGTGACGTACAGAGTGGCACACACACCCACACTTTAACAACGAAGCAAGAGATATGAGGAATTGGTTAGAGCAAGTTGACAGCAGAAAGCAGAACAGCAGGAAAACGTGATAAAAGCAATCATAAACAAAATCTACCCACAATGGGTACAAAACACTCGTTATATTACCGTTTTACAATGACAACGCATGCCTGGTACAATCACTAGATGGTGGTTTGCGATGCGCTGTCGCTAAGTACCGTAAGAAATGCTCCAAATGTGCAAAAAATCGCTGACAAAAAATACCGCCGCAAAACTAAAGCAATTGAAGCAAATAAGACATCACAACCACAAACTCTTGGCTGAAGGTGACGCCCTCTGGAGTTCGCCCATCGCACTGTCATCTCATTGTGATAATTCTACCTTTCGTGTTGCTGTCCTTTTTGCCTTCCCTCCTCAGCCTTCCGCTTGCTTGCACCACTTCTTCTGATGGTTTCCCGTTTTAAATTACCTGAATGACGTATACGCCATTGTGGCGACGGAGAGGTTGAAATGGCGCTTCCGATTTCTTTACTCACGTACGTATACAGTGCTGTTGTGGTTGTAAGCGGCACGCGGTTGACTACTCCTCCTCGGCATGACACACCAGAAATGAAAAATGCGGGCGGCACTCAAATCAAATACTTAACACAACCGAAACCACACAATCGCTTCCGCAAATCAGAGTATCTGCGGGGAGTGCTACTCTTAACCGTTACACTGAAGGTATTTGGTGTTTTTGCTGGTTTTACGCTTCCATCATACAAAATGCAAAGAACTGATTTTATTTCATCTTTTTTCGTATCTTTTTCTAAAATTCAATTTTTGGTTTTCACTCTCCATTTCTTCCTCTATTTGCAGTTTGCACAGCTGGCCCGCATGAGAAGCGCCTTCTTCACGCCCTGCTCGACAACTACAACAGTCTGGAGCGACCTGTCGTCAACGAATCCGATCCACTGCAGCTGAGCTTCGGGCTGACGCTAATGCAAATCATCGATGTGGTGAGTTTTGTTTCTTTTTCACTCTTCTATTTTTCAGAATCAAGTAGGTGTTACCCGCATCACAGGCTTTCACACATTAATCAGAAGTTTAATGCGCAAATTAAATTTTAATACGCCCTGAGGTATGCTACACTAATATCATTACATGAGCAAACAAAGCCAATCACGCGGGCATAGCGCACAAAAGGGATTATTTAGCCTTCAATTAGTCTAAAAAATATATACAAATATTTCGTGTAAGCGTGTGGCACACATATCSTCAAGCTCGCGCCTAGTATAGCAGTAGTAAAACCAATGTTGGCAGCAAAACCGACAAACAGAACTGGAGGCGGTGAAAAAAAGCTTTTGACACGAACCCAATTAGCATGTGTTTAAGCATGTATTAAATAAATACGAAAAGGCTACTGCTATCACATATGCGTTTTACATATAAAAGTAAAGCACTTTATAAATATATAGCAAATATATAAATAATAATTTGGGTGCSACAACTAGTGAAAACTGTAAAGAAAACGACTATTTTTCGTACTTTGATAGCCAATATCCTTAAAATTAAATACCAAATTTAAAATGAAAATTCGAAGTATTAAGTTAAAGAGTTCTCAAGTCAAGTTATTTTTGGACGTAATTAAAATCACGCTAGGTTCACTAAAACAGCCAACAATCAGAAAAAAGTAAAACGAATTTCGCAACTTTCCTTTGAGAGATGAAAATCACGGAAATAATAGTTCTGAAATACTTCGCATAATAGTCATATGCTTCTTGACCTTAAGACRACGATGTTGGTTTTATACTTAAACTAAATATGAGCTAAGCTTGGAAAACAAAAGACGAAGTGACGTGCAAACGTAACGAAGGAACAGGTGCCGGAACCCCAAAATGTCAGCAGAAAGTGCAGTTGTAAGTAAAGGGAATAATTGATTTGCAGTTATCTGACTCAAGCACCAACAAAGCACGAACAGAAGAAGTTAAACAGACGGGCTGACATGATGCGGTTAAGCTGCAGAGTCACCGCCTTGTGAAGTGAATAGCATGAAAGCAAAAGTGTCACTTATCACGTGATCTATTATTGCTTGTCTACGTAGTTGACACCAAATGTAAGTCCACACACTAACACGCACAGTTTATAGCAGCCAGTGTTGCGTGTAAGCAGTAACATCCCGGGGTGATGGGTATCACTACAGTGAGAAAGAGTCACGTAAAGGGTCTTTATGATCTCTATGTGCGAAAATGTTTATCAAGTTCAAGCACAATGCAAACTGTTCCGTCGCTGCAATTACTTTACTTATGTAGCCCTTACAGCTCGGAATTTCATAATTAGAAACTATGAACGAAACCACGACCTTGACTTTACATGAAAAGTTTTACACAAACAGTTCCACAGATGCTTTGTGCTCTTCTTTGCTACACCCATATTTCATTTATCAGCCTATAGAGCCCGGCTGCTAATCATTTTTGCTACGACGCTCATTCAACACACAATTTGTTTACTCAGCACTGCCAGCTTTGCTCTCTAATAAAAGTTCTAATTAAAAGAAAACAGAAGCAAATCTTTTAAAAGCTCATTAAAAATTAAAATTAAATAACACAATAACATTATTTAATATGAGGCATTTGGAAATGCAGGCTTCAACGGGTGCTGTAGAGGAAATGCGCAACGGAAACGGACGCTTGCTCTTAACCAACTCGCCAACGCAGAGCAATGCCAAGCGAAATTCGCAGAATAACACAAGAAAAAAAAACTCAGTTAAATAAACACTCGTCAAGGTAGTACGCAGCCGCAGTCGCAATGGTGAACGCGAATGCTTTCATTAGCCCAACGATGCAGCTGCGCCTATTGTTATGCTACGTTTGCCGCATTTATCTTCCGCTGAGTCTTCTTATTCAGCTGCGCGSTTTTGTTGCTTTGTTGGTTTTGTAAACCCACCAGTGCACGCACATACACATCCTTATCCACATTCAGACACACTGGCGTTAGGCATTTAATTACCACTTGAGTTGAGTAGCTAGCGCGACGACACTACGGGCATAATTAGAAGGCAATGCCACTTCGATGCGTCGTGGCRCTGCAATTTTCAAAGTCCGCTGCTTAGCTGCCAACTCACTCACAACATGCYAGCCGACAAGCCGAGTGACATGCCAAAGCACAAACCATTACTTAAACTCTTACGGTGGACTACAGAGTTTACACATGCAAGCTCTTGCAATATTTATCATTTCATACAAGAAACCCGCACCCTCTGCCTCCACACATACACATATGCTTTACTTGTGGGTTTTCTTCCGCTTTTTTGTGTGTTCTTTCGCCACCTACAAGTTTACGCTGTCGCCGCAAACCACATGTCCTTGCTTTCTTATTCACCAACACATACACGCACACATATTGTTTCTCATTTACATTGCGACCATTTAAGAATCTAAAAAAAATTTAAATAATTTCAAACAAATCCGCCATTTTGTATTGTAATTTAATATTATTCCCTGCCAGATAATTCAAATTATACTATAACGGTAAATTAACCGCTTACAAAACAAAAATTTCGCYGCTTATCACTTTTATCTCAGTAAAATTGTATGTCTTTGATTCTATTTGCTCTCAATTTCCATTCATTTCGTAGGCTCTTCATTGAATTTCACTGATATCCTCAAACTCTACTTATCGTGCTGACACTAATACCGAGAACATTTTAAAACTGTTTTCTTTTTGWAGCACTGAAACGACTAAATTTATTGCCTTTCCACTGTTCAATGATTAATTTATTTTTTCACTTTGTGGTGACTTTTAATCCGTTCCGTCGTTAATCCAGCAAAATATTTTCTCTGCATTGCCTGTCGTGTCTTTTGTTATATTTATCTGTCTGATACATTTTATCAGCTGAACATTTAATGAACTCAGCGTCTAGTTTGTCTAAGGTAATCCGGTGGCGATAACTTTATTAATTTTGAGACCCCATCCACCCTGGAGAAATCATCCATTTATAACCCGTTCTTCCCATATAATGGAACGGATAAAAGCTAAAAGTGCGATAAATCAATAAGGAAGGATCTAATAATTTCCTCAATGTATGCAATCTTATGGCTAAACATTTTTCAAACCCAAACAAAACCGTTCACGACCCCAGGTACCGAATATGTGGACACCAGATCTATACCTGACTTTTGAATGAAAATATTAGTCTATACGAGTATATGGGATATGCAATTGAAATTCAGAGAGAATCCTTTCTTAACAATAGTAGCTCTGTGTACCAAAAATAAAGAAAGTAATCGGGTCAATACTTTCCTGAGCTCCCATATACCTAATACAATTAAAAAAGATTTTAGAACTTCCGGGTATTTGAGGTACCCCAACGAAACCCAGGGAACATTTTATTATTATGTGGCATGTTAATAGTATGTGATGTGATATTGAGATAGATAAAATCGGGTCGATATTACCGCAACTCGCATATACTAGATATGTACATAAAMAATTTTTTTTCGGCCTTATGCCCAATATGTCGATCAGTTTATGAACTAGATACAGTATATATATTTACATAGTATTTAAAATTCCTTGGATGTTGATCCTCTGGTTGACGTTTTGCATCTTGCGGACTACCCTGGCTCCGATTCAAAGTTGCAAGAAAAAGTGATGAAAGTATAAAAGTGCCAGAGGCTCGCAAGAGCTATAACTCTTAAACTGGTACTCCACCTGCCATCTATAGACCCCTTCGCTGAAAGCTTAACAGCAAAATCGGTGTGACAACTACTAGCTGCAGGAGAATTTACATATACAAGGTGCTTTTCAAAGTAAACAGGACTTTTTGAATCTACCGTCCCCAGGTGGCGCCATCTATATGTCGTCTGATGCCTTAGAATCTACTGYCTTTATCGATTGTCCAGTGAGAATATCATGATATTTCGTTGATTGGAAGTGAAGTTGTTGAGTTTTACGTGTCAGTGTGTTTGTGTTATCGGTGCGAAAATGAGCTTCGAACAAAGAGCCAACATTCAGTTTTATTTTAAAATACTTCAACGTTTTCAAAGTGGCCGTGAAGAYGGAAATGACGATCAACATGTGGGCCAATCAACATCCGTGATCACCGGAAATTCCATCGAAACTGTGTGTGAATTCATCAAAAATCAGCCGTATCATTGAAATTCACGAAAGGTGTGTACACCGTTTGGTCCGCACAAATTGACTGACGACGGAAAATTGTTCGGAATCCAACATTCGATCGACGCGAAGGAGACTATTTTGAATAAAATTAATTGATTTTGCTGAGAAAACCATTTGTTCCGTTTTTTTAAAGTCCTGCGTACTTTGGACATGTAGACCGGAAATTTATAAAAAAATGTTGACCAATACAATTGAACATCTCTTGTCGACAATAACTGAACTCCACCTAGTATCTCAAATGATCAAAACTGGTTTATGCGAGGCTTATTGCCTACCAGATAAACTTAACCTAATCTTTTTCATTGGACTATGTAGATGTATAAAGGTCTAGAAGGGCATAGGGTGGCTCTCTTCTTGCCTACATTATTTCCACTTTCCACTATTTAACTAATGTTTCATTGCATCTACCAATATGTTTTTTAACAAAATAACCTTCCGATACAGAGTGCCTTGCTATCATTAAATGAATAAAAATTAAAAATTGGAATATCAAACGAGTCCATGCTCATGACTTTTAAAAATCATCATTCGACCAAACTCCGTGTGGACAAATATGTATACATCACGACGTTGCGCCGTTTTTGAAAACTGCTAGCAAATAATTTTACAACTTTTCCCTTGTATGTGCAAATTAAGCAATAAATTTCACGTTCACTCCCCGAAGAATTAACTTTTGCAACTAAAAACTGTTGTTTGAAATTGAAAGCTGCAGTCCGAAARCAAATACTTAAAAATGAATCTGCAAAACAGCAAACATTCGACTTTCCACCTTSCGCTGAAAGCAAGCAAAAAATAGATTTATTGTAGCCCTTGTAAGGGAGGAGCCATCACGTGGCTT